AGTCTTGATCATTCGGTTGGCATTCTCTATGAGCCCGTTGGCTTGAGGCCAGTGCCCTGGGGAGTATGAAATTCTGACGTCTGCCCTTACAAGATGTCGCTCTACTTCCCCCGGGAACTCAGATCCATTGTCCATATGTATCTCTTCTACATCCAGGTGYATGCACAAAAAGTGATTAATGTACCAGGCTACCTCCTGCGAGTTCCGACTGTTCATTGGATACCCTTTGATCCATTTCGAAAAGTGATCTACGGCTACAAGGAGAACATTGAGTTCTCCTTGATCAACAGGGCCTCTCGGCACGTTGATGTCCATCGTATCGATATTGACCCGTTGGAAGGGGCGCTCTACCCGGGTAGGCACTATTGTCCGGGGCATCTGTATCGGCGCCTTATCGGCCGCGTAGGCCAGGCAAGTCCAGACGATGTATTTCACATCTTTCCGGATTCCCGACCAGTACCATCCGTTTTTCTCTATTGCATTTTCCGTGTATTTGACTGCAAAGTGGACCGCATCCTCCTCGAGGGCGGCTCATGTCCAATTGAACCTGGTCTGTGGGTGTGGAACCGTCAGCCAACTAGATCCGTCGACGTCATCGTCTTTATGTTTTTGAAGGACGGATCCCTGCCAGCGGAAATCATGCGCCCGTTCCGTGACACATCGCCGTTCAGCCTTGGTAAGTTCCTTCAGCGGATCGCCTGTCAGTATCCGTAATAGCAGAAGATCCATCAGGACTTCTGCTTGGCGGACGCTTGGCAAAAATCCGTCTGTCGTTCTAGCTTCTAGATACCGTTTTCACGTCGGTACGTGGTCCCTTCGACAGTTGGGACAGTTCCAACTTTTTTCATTCCGATATTGGGCACAACTCCCATGGGACCAGACGATGTGACATTGACTACATTGTACCCAGGGAAGAAAGCTAGGCCCCTCGAGAGGAGGATCTCCCCCTGTCGGTATCATAAGCAAGGTGCAGAAGAAGCAGATTTGGGAAGGCGTGCTCGGATGGGAGTCAGGGTCAAGAGAGGGGGTTGAAGAATGGGGAAGGGGGGAAGGGGTGTCGGCTTCCTCATGGGAGATCGCGATCTTTGATTGCTGCAGTACCCTTGCGGAGGACATTCACCTCCCCGTAGTCAGGTTCCGTCGAAGGCGAAATCGGCGTCCACGAAATGAGCTTCTCGTTCGCGGGACTCTTGCTCGGCGGTTGGAGGCGCGTCAGACCAACGGCGTTCCCATGCTGTCGGGTGGCGCGGTGGCGGATGTCGAAGTCGTAGTCCTGCAATCTCACCGTCCACCTTCCTAAGGTACCCGTGTAGTCCGTGTTGTTCCGCAACGATAGCAATGGATGATGATTCATCACGAGAGCGAACTTCTGGCCGTACAGATACGGTCGAAAGTGCTGAACTCCCCACACCACCGCCAAGCATTCACTCTTGCACGCCTCGTAGTTTGACTGCATCTGGCTCAGTGTTTTCGACGCATACTGGATGACATGCTCCCTTCCATCCGTTCCTTGTTGAGTGAGCACCGTCGATATCGCCTGCGGCTGCCAGTCGGTATGCAGCGCAAACTGTCGTGTCGGATCGGGACGGGCCAACACGGGTGTCGATGTCAGAGCCTCCTTGAGTGCCTGAAAAGCCGCCTCGCATTCCGGCGTCCAGATCAGCTGCTCCTCCTTCTTCAGCAGGTTCGTCATCGGCTTGGCGAGGCAGGCGAAGCTCCGAATGAAGCGTCGATAATAAGAGGCCAGCCCTAGGAAGGCTCCAACCTGAGTGAGCGTGGCCAGGGCCGGGGCTTCGCGAACCGCTGCTACCTTCCTGGGATCCGGTTTCAGTCCCTCGACCGTGACGATGTAGCCCAAAAAGGAAATTTCAGACAAAAAGAACTCGCTTTTCTCCAGAGCCACTTTGAACGCCGCATCTTTCAACGCATGCAACACCCATTCGACATGTTCCACATGGTACTCGTAGGTTTTGGAAAAGACCAAAATGTCATCCATGTACACAATCACACA